CGAGCCCCAAAAAAAAAAAAAAAAAAAAAAAAAAAAAAAAAAAAAAAGGAAAAAGAAAAAAGAAAGAAAGAAAGAAAAGAAGCAATTGTCTATATGCTTAGTATATAAACTGGGACTTAGTATATATTGAACCAAGCTCTGCAAATATGAAAAAGTTCAAGTAATTTCTTTTTTCTTTTTTGGAGAGGTTTTTGCTATAGGGCACGTGCACGCCAGAAAGACAGAGAGACAGAAAGTGAAAAATCACCTTCTGGGAGGATGGCCACACTGCAATCCCTTCTCCTCCATTCTCCTCTAGAGATCTTGGGCATGCACACACATGTGCCCAGCGTGAGTTTAAGCCACAGGATCTGGGACTTAAACCATGGTTGACTACATGGGAGTCCAGCAACATAGCCATTATGCCAACTGCTGGTCCCAAGTTCAAGTAATGTCTATAAAAAAGAACACTAGTAAATGACCTGCCCTAAATTGCTAAAGTCTGTTCATATATTAACTCAATCTCAGGTTATAAACTAGTGGATCAGATCAGATTATATTTGCCTAGTACAGCAGCTACCTCCCTTCTACCAGGGAGAAGACACTCCTCAATGGGGTATAGCCATGCCACAATCTCTTCTCCACTGTTTCTACATCCTGTCAGGATTTTGGGTATGTATGCGCATATGCCTGGTGTGTTTTTTAAGCTATCAGGGCTAGGATTTGAACCATGATTGACCATGTGGGATCCTGTTCTCTTAACTACCAGGCCATGGGTTAGGCCTTCTCATAGGCAATTGTTAGATTACAGGTTGAAATATTTGAATTAAATAAAAATTTTTTTTTGAGAGGTTTTCACTATAGGGCACGTGTGCTCGCCAGACAGACAGAGACAGACAGAGAGACAGAAAGCGAGAAATCACCCCCCAGGGGGGATGGTCACGCAGCAATCCCTTCTCCATTCTCCTCCATTCTCCTCTCGGGATCTTGGGCACACACGCACACGCGCTCGGCGTGAGTTTAAGCCACCGGGTCCGGGACGCGAACCATGGTCGACTACATGGGAGTCCAACGACATAGCCATTACGCTAACTGCTGGTTCCCTCAAATTAAATAAAATTTTAAGTTACATATATTGATTATATTATAAATTTGGGGGCACGTGCTGGTCCATAAGAACAGAAACCAAACATCTTTCAACTTCTACAACATCTAGCATATAATTTATCACTAGTCACTTAATAAGTTCTTGTTAACTAATCAAATTCTTACTGTAATAATTATATATATTTATTTATTTTCAAATTTAAATTGTAAATGGCCAATTGTTATACGCTAAATTTGGAAAGGAGCAATTACCTTATAAAAATGATAGTCAAAATTTCTGGTGAAAGGTAATTTGTTCCTTCATTGATTAAGTCCCTACAATGGGCCAGGGACTGAACTAAGTGTGAGAATTACAAAAATAAATAAGACATGGTACCGTGTCTCAAACTGCTCATGTTGTAGTTAGGAAAATTTTCTCAAACAAACATTAACATTGGGGACTTTAGGTTTCAGGAAAAAAAATATTAACATGAAGGGTGATGTCAATACTAAAAATATTGGTGTGCTAATTTAATAAGTTATTATCAGTCTTATGACCTTTGCTAAGAATGTATTAAGAAATCGACATTTTGGAAGGCAGACGAGGCTGAAAGGAATGAGATGCTATCATTAATAACTTTAATTACAAATATTAGAGTAAGAAATTTTCAGCTTTTCCTTTATAAGTTGGTAATTTCTAGCAAACGAAAACTAGTTAAGATAATGAAATCATCCATACCACAGTAATTAAATCACAAAATTACTTGAAAAAAATACTACTGGCCAATTAACTGCTTTTCCTTCTTTATTATTATTATTACTATTATTATTATTACCTCAAGACACACACACTGTCCAAGGATGCTACTATGGAGAGGTTTCACTGATACGGGCTCCCCTCTACCGAGATCCAGACATTCCACCGCACTGCAGGGGCTCAGCAAGGATTCGTGGGAACGGGACTCTTTTAGCTTAGGCAGCCCACGAGACCTAAATGTAGAAAAAGATATTTAAGGTAGTGTTGCCTTGACCAACCAGGAAATAAAGGCCTAATACAATGGAGGCTAACAACGAATGTACAAATGCCTAAAAGAAAAAATAAATAAACAAATTAATAGCCTATGGCTCTAGTAATTATATTCCTGTGGCACATATAAACCACACAGACACACACACACACACACACACACGTGCGTGTGCGCACACACACAGAGACATCAGAAAATTTGTGGAGAAACAGAATTATGAGTTTCCTTTGGTACAGAAAATTTAGAAATTCATACAGAGTCTCACTGCAATATACATTTTCCATGAACTTTCTGAAGACCCTGAGTACATGAGCATACATACTTATTTCAATAAAGCATAAAAACATTCTATAATTTTACTTTTTTTTTTTTTGGGAGAGGTTTTAATTCAAAGCTCTGCTGTAGACATTATTTTCATCCTTATTCCTATCTTAGAAGGTGGAGAAATGTGTAACTACTCAAGGCTATCTTATATATACTTTTTAATGCAAAGATACTATCATAAGACTTTTTTAAAAATGCTATAGCTTTATTTTCTTGTATTGTTGATAAAATAAATGATGGAATTCTCATTTTCTTTCTTTGTGGTTTGGCAGAATAAACATAGACACAAACATGCAGAGAGTCAATACAATACTTTCTAGCACAAGGCCCTGTCTATCAGAAGGCCTGATTGCTATCACATAGGAAATTCTTCTCTGGTAAGTTCCAAGTTCTGGCCATGCTTTAGTGTACAGATATGAATCAAGAATAAAATGCCTTGAAGAAACCTCCCACCATGAAAAAAATGTGCAATCTCTCATCTAGAAGAATAGATCTTTGTCAACACTGTTAGGAGATCCTGGCTGATTTAGTTTCCCAGTTGTTTTAGAAAGAATGCTGGGAATCACGATTGGTCACTGCAGGAGCCAGTACTTCACTGCCTTCCTCTGGAAAGAATTAATGGAGTCAAACAATATGAAGCATAATACTCTTGAATCCAGAGCAGGATGGCCACACGGTTCTACTCAATAATTACAATATTTATTGCCTGAAAACGCCCAAAGTGAAATACATATATTAAGAAGAAATACTTAGTAATAAGGATAAAAAGAAAGGCCTTGTGTAAAGACATTTGTTTTTGTAATACACATTAAGTAAGCAGCTTCATTGACTTCCTTGAAATAATTATGTTAACATGAAAAGGAACTGAAATACTTACTGCCAGAGTAGTTTTTAGTTAAATTATAAAGTAATAAGATATAGGAAATTAGCACTAAAGGCTGCTCTCTCCCTTCTGTCTCCATTCTAACATTGTTTAATCAAGCTCCATAAAATAAGAGACATCTTAAGTAAAACAAATTTTAGGCCATTCTTCTTTCCACAGAAACCAAATAAAACTGGACAGTATATGTTCTGATGGTCAGCCATTTTTAAAGTAAAAAAGTCAATATTTGTATTTGTCATTGATAATACCAAGTATATCAAAAAGGGACAAATGTCAGGTAATGTTTTATATGTACAATATGTAACAATGTAACAGTACACATTTATTTTCTTTTTTCCTATAGGATAAGTCAATGGCATATTATATATTTCAAATTTAGCACACACATTAACTGTAAATGCTTAATTATAAAAAAAATTAAGTTTAATTACAATACAACCTTTCCCAATATGTTACACAGGAAGCCTGGTTGAGGCAAGGGAACACTATAATTTTTCCTAAACAAATCTAAAACAATTCTAGTCCATTCCTCCCAGAGCAGTTGCTGGAGGGAAAGCCTCTCACACTCGGGGTGAGTATCTCAACAGGAAAGATTAAAGGCATATTTAAAATAGAAGGAGATACAACAAAAGGCTTTTAATTTTTAAATTCTCTAGGAAAAAATTCTAAAACATAAATTAATGTTATTTCAAACAAAATAAACGTCTACCTACATGAAGCAATTGTACAGCCACCTGGCAGTGCAACCCCAGATCATAGCGGTGCCACATGTCACGGTGTAGCAAGTCACTTTCTGAACTATATCTCAGAAAACAACTCTCTCTTTGGAAGACAGGAACCAACAGAAGATGGTTTCCCTGCTGCCTGCGGTTACTGATAACATCTTTGGATAAATGCTTTCCAGGTGTTATTTCAAGTCTTCAACAGAAGCAAAACGGAAACACAAACAACAGAATAAGAGGTCATCTTCATCCAAACAGGCTGCAGGATAGGTAGTACTCCTTCTCTTCCTTCAGGCTGCATCTAGCCCCTCAGGTGACATAAACAAGGTTTCCGGGCTCTGGGCTGGGCCTGTTACCATGGCGCTACACCTATAAGGAGATTAGAGCTGGAAGACAGCAGGGAGAAGCTACCGCTTGCTTAAAGGGCTCAAGGAGCACACACTGCAACTGTGGCAAAGGTGACCACTTAAGAAAGGAAGGAATGGTGAGGCCCCTACCCATTTTCATTAGCAAGTTCTCAAAGGTTGTACAGAAGAAACTAAAGCAACTGGGAGTGAAGGAGAATCCCTTATCAAAGCTCTACTAGTTACAAATCTGAGAAGCTTTAGGTTGCTTCTTATAGAATTCCCACCCTACTACTAGAAAGTACTTTCTACATCCCATCTTGCTCTCTCTCACATCTGTTCTTGTTCCTTTGCAATGCTTACCCTAGTTTGGGTCTAGGTATTATTTTACATTAACTTATCTGAACTACACATTTAATTTATAGAAAGTTGCATTTCCAACACTGAATACATTCCACTTGGATACTTAGGCCTAACTTCCAAATGCAGCCATAGCAGATATTATTAAAACCAAGCCATCTGGAATTACAACTCAAAACGTCTTATCAAAATTACAGAAATTTCCATGAGTAACACATAGTTCAGAATCTCCTACAGGTCAGCATTGTTTTCAGTGTGTGTGTGTGTGTGTGTGTGTGTGTAAATTGAAAACCAAAGTCACTAATATGTTCAATACCACTACTAAATAAATAAGCAAGTCCTTCCTATATTGGGGAAGACAGTCTCTGAGAAGACAGAAGTAATTCCCAGTGAAGCAAGATTACAGTAAACAGGAAGATCAAGCAGCTTGGGAATGTCAGAGGTGGGGAGAGCACTGTGGGAGAGAAGGCATTATCTGAACAAACATTTCAATATAATAGCATTAGTAACTCTGAGTCCTCTCTAAACCACATTTACTTCTTCTTTACCTTCACACGAATGGATTTTTCTCGAATATACTGGTTTTCTCCTCTAATGGAAAGTAGAATGTAGATTTAATAAGAGTAACATGAAACGTCATTTAAAACGCCGTCTCCAGAGCAATCTGACAATGTCTTTCACTCAGAAACCTATCCCAGCCTACCACTACTACTGGTCAGCTTCT